CCGCAGATCATAGGTTTAAGACTGTTTGCTGAGGTAGGACTAATTACAGTGACAGTAGAGAACAAGGTTTGATATAGTAGAAAAAGAAAAAGTTGCCCAAAACCAATAGCATTTAGGGGCATTAATGTTTTTGAAAACTGTATAGGAGTCTCCAAACTTTCCCCATATCATCAAAGAACTAAAAGTTTATAAAAAAAAGGTTCTGAATGTTGGAAAGGTGAATACTTTCTGGCTACCAACATCATGAAACCCAAAATTTAATTCCTGTTATTCTACCTTATATCTTTAGAAAATCGCCATATTTAGCTTTAACCAGAGACAGAGATCAAGGAATATGGGACCTTATACCAAGAGCTAGGACAAAGCAAGGCTGATGGGTGAAGGGACAGGGGACGTGAATGAGTGGGTAAGAGTTAGAAATAATAGGTGAACACATGGGAAGTTTTTATCATCCTTATTGATTTTTTCCTCTTATTCATCCTTGTGATTCTTCCTCTATGTTGTCTATTTTGGTTTCCTAGTAAACACTTTTCTCGACCATTACACTTACAAAGTAACCATCTGATAACACTTAAGACCATGGCCCCACATCTCTATCTGGCACAAAGCATTTGCAAGATCTTGCAAAAAGCTGGTTCTTGTACAATACTTTCACAGGGTTAAGTGATGGTGATATTAGTTGCTACAATCGAATTCAAGTAGAGATACATATTACTTAACCATCAAATTGAGCCAAAAGAAAAAAAACCCTTTTCTTTAATTTACAAAAATATTTTGCTTTATCTTATTTTGCTGTTACAAATGTTTATAACAGTATAGTAATTATAAGGTGTATAATAAAAATAACCATCGCATATTCATAACACTAGAAAAATACATTTTCCCGCCCAATTCAAGTAAAAAGTGAAATCAGGGAAGGCAGAGCATCTATGTGTAGAGAACATTTCACAAAAAATATAAAAAATGAGCACAGTATTTCCCCATTTTTTGTCATTTTACCCGTCGCAAATGGGTTTAAGTAGACTCATCCGGTAGGGTACTTGTGCAAATTGGTTATTGTATATGACAAAGTATTTAACATGATATTGCATAGCAATTTTTTTACCTGTGGTCAAGATCACTGGGACATACCTGTGCCATCTTTTACTGGTGGCAATTAGAGTGTTGGGCTGTGGTAGATGACAACTTGAACTGGTCTCTACATCATTATGAGTAATTGTAGTGGTTGTTAGTTCCCACTGTTAGGCTGGGTACTGGAGGTGAAGGGGAGAGTTCGATGGCGGAACCAGGAGGGCTCCCCAGTCAGCTAAGGCTGGGGTAGTTTTTACTTATTGGTATATGATATATTGATAAATGTTACTGTTTTTAACTATAAAATTTGTGTCATATGAGAGGATATCACTGAATCATTGGAAAAAATGGTTCGCTGAAGGTGCTGTGTGCTTAGCTGACTGGCAGAGATCTGCAACTGATATGTGGGCTCACCTATAGTTTCTGTAGAATACATTTATATCGGATATAATTGTCTGTAAGTGAATCCGTATTGGGGATGTTAGAGGGGGGTTTACGAAATAGATGTATATTCTTTCCAATAATGTATTGATATTCATTGTGGCTACTTTTTTAACAGATGGAAAAGACTCTCTCTATTAGTACAGAAAGCCTTAAATGGAATCGATGAAGCTGGTGATGAAGCTTCTTGAGACCACCCCGCCCTCCCTTGACTGACAGGGAATGCCAGATATGCTGAACGCGGTGGGTCAGTTGGCTCAACCAAAAAGAATGCGATGTCTATTTGTGTTTCCCTTGGCGGCTTGGAACCTTCATAAGGTGGGCATTTTCTTATGTTTATTTTAGAAGTTGTTGAGAATCCTATGGTATTTTTTTAGAAATTATTTTAGTGTTGGGCATTATCTTGTAGGAATTGATAACAAAGAGAAAAAATAATAAATTTGTGGAAAATTTTTTTTTTTTTTCGTCCTATTGTTGGCCCGACCTCTCTTTAACAGAAAAGTGGTGTCGGAAACACTTGTGAATGTGTATCCAGAAGGGCTTACTGGGGTGAAAGGCGGACTACATGAAGAAGAAGACTCAGGAGTATGAAAGCCTTCAAAATGTCGGCAAGAGCATATGAGAATGAGAGAAGGTTTGGACTTGTTCTCCCAATTTTAATTATTGTGCCACTTATGCTTTTTGCGTGCATTCTCAAGAGTGTAGCTTGTTAGAAGAAATGTGAGCCAATGATAAACAATGATGTGCTAAGAGTATCAGATTCTTGTGCTGTTTTGGATTACATGCTAGTATATACACTGGTCCTGGTAGATCAATCAGAGTGCTGCTCTTATGCTGACCATAAGAAAAGACACGATAACTTTGGCTGCTGTTACTAAGGTACTTTTGGTGCAAACAACAGTGGGCATGCTTTTTAAAGGGTTGCATTAAATTAACTAACATGTGCACATATTTGTCTTCCGGCATACAACTTGAAAGAATTGTGATATCCTCATACAGAAATTGTTTGTAATGTTTTAAGAGAAAAGATAGATCCTGTAACAATTATTTGGATGTTATTTGAACTTATTATTTAAAGTAAGTTGTAGGAAGTGCATGAAACACGTTTGAGCAGGGGCTTTTCAATCCAGCAGATGAGAAGTGAGAAGTGAAGTATGTCACCAATATGGTTCGTAAGGACGTCTGCGCACTGACCGTCACCACACTTACTTCAGTGGACCTGCCCATGATGACAACCGCCAGCAATGTGCAAATCTCTCTATAATATTTTAACCACGTAAGTCTAAGAGCATTACTAGACTTTATAGATTTAATCGCATTTTTTTTTTTTTTTTTTTTTTTTTTTTTTTCAAGACCTAGCATTGCATATATATGAGACAGAGCAAGCATGATTCCCTTTGTGTATTTTAGTGAAAAACAAAATTTTGAAATAGATTCAGGGAATGGATTTCTCATTAACAAAATTCTGATTGTCTTTAGAGTTCTCAGGATTTTATTTGTAATCCATTGGCTGTTTCAAGGTGTCAGTCCCTAAACATGGACTGTGTACTTGCTGAAGACCAAAAGTAGACTTTCCTGAGAAGGACATAGCATTATTTTTCCAAGAATTTCCGCAACTGATAAGTTTTTTTTTACCAATCTGTAATTTCAAGATGGTCTAGAAGAATTTCTTCAGTTTAATATTTGATATAAAGATCTTTTTTTCTTCTCTTTTTACGACCCTCCTTTTGAAGATGGAGACGTGAATAACCATTGGTCTGTTGTCTTTGTCTAAATTAATTGGCCCAGAGAATCCTAATGTAGCAAATCATTGTGACAAAAGCAATTGATACGTACCTGGCTCATATTTTAGACCATACTTATCACTTTTTCTTAATATCTTCAAGTAGAGAAAAATCATGCAACTAATCATGATAATCTGACCCATTACCTCCTACATAAATTTTACTCTAACTGTTAACTGTTGTTATAGATTTAAAATCAGCCCTTGCCTTGCTTGAAATATGTACACCAGCCATCTTCTTTTAAATTGTATTAAGTCATAAACATTGCCGTTGAGGATAGCATGATCCAATGTACATTAGTGATTGAGTTTGTTAATTAAGTTGATATGTAGATGCTCCACAAGTTGACTTAATCACCATTGAGTTGGTTACTATTCTACCTATTTTCAACTATTAACCCTTTACTTTGGTTTTCTGAAATATTGTTATTTATTCTTTTATTGATATTTAGTATTTTGATAATAGTATTATAATCATAATGGGGAATAATAATTATAAAGTTATCTATATTGCTTAGCATTATAAAATAAAAACAATTTCCAAAACTTAAGAAAAGGTCCACATCATGTAGGCCTACTAGCTGACTCCTTGGTGATTGAGCAATTGTGACGCCATCTATGTGTAATATAAGCAAAATTACAATGTGGCATTACATATTCCTGGTGGCAATGGATTAAATTTGGTCACACAAACAGTGATGCTAAAAACACTTTATTTTTGTTTTTTTTTTAATATCCAGGCAACTATGTGATTTTGTATTCCTCTGACGATACTTATCACAAAGATATGAAAAGTAGTGTAAAATCTCTTCATGATATTGTATGGATGGACTACCCTAATATTTCCTTAGCTACAATTCATATTGTATAATTTTTTGGGCCAGCTCGATAATTGAGTGAAGTTCACTCTTTCTAGAAGGAACCTTGTTTTCTTGATCGTTTCTGCAAAGACATTGGATACAGAAATCAAGCGCATAAATTCAATCAAAACTTTAAAATAGATATTCTGATATGTTATCTTCCTTTTAAAATGCTTCTTTTTATTTGTTAACTTGTGTCAAGGTTAGTGAATGGAACATGATATCTTGTAGAGTGGGAATTATATTGTTGCGTAATGAAGTTCAAAGTGAAAATTAGATAAACATAGAGTGAAACGGATACACCATATCCAGATATATGTATGAGCTGTAACAGTGGGTCACTGGATTTCAAAGGGGTTTACTTTAGTTTTAATAATCTTTGGTAAATGTATGTATGTTTAATGTAACTGGAGGTCTAGAATGACTTAACAAACATGAGTAAGATAAAAGCTGTAAATAATTTACTATTAGTGTGGAGTAATTGATAAAGGTTAATCACTTTCCTTGGAAATGTCTTTAAAGGTAATGGTTTTTGGAAGCTTTAAGTATATTTTCAATTCAACCATGGTAAAATTTGATTTATTTACTTTGTTTGTGTAACAGTATAATAATGTAGTTTTCTATTACATTCAGGTATGCTCTGAATCGCCTTCTGTTGTATGTAAAAGGAAATGAGTGACTGGCTTCTCCACTCTTCGTCACCATGCGGATGAAGCACAAGCATATGTTTGTTTCGTGCCCTATGGCTCGGGGCATCCAATTTCCACATAGATGGGGATGCTATGACTCTGAAGGTCCAGCACCTTACAGAAGCTCTCATGTTTCTATGACTTGGAATATTTACATACCTTCAGCTGCATCAGGTTTGTCAGTGAAAGTAGTGGATTTCTTACTGTGAATTTTATACTGATAAATATTTTAGACAAAGCACTGCCTATGAATGTCACTTTGCATTAAACATAATTAAATTAAGCAAAACAAAAATAATGGCAATGCCTATTTTTTCTATTGATTATGAAGACACATCATGATTTTCAACTATTACATATGATGTTATTGCAGGCTGATGACTTGCTGTTTTGCTATCGGTGGCTGCTGCTGGAGTTGAAGCGAGAGTTTGCATTTGACGATGCTCTACACATGCTGGAGGTTTTGTGGAGTTCTCTTCCTCCAGATCCACCTGCAGACTCTCTTCCACTCTATGAGGTTATTTCGTTTAATTTTTGTTTGGCTAAGAAAAGGCTTTTATTTTTCCGTTTTTCTAAAATGTGAAAATTGTAATATTTCTATACTTATTCCATATGACTGTATATGGCCCAGTTATTATATCTAAGGATTAACAAACTCAGTTATGTTTGTTGTTATACACGGAAGTAAATGGCAGAAGTGGAATTTACAAATTTAAGGGGACTGTCTCCAAAAAGAAGGGCGATAAGGATGGTACAGCCAATAATTCATGCCTCAAATTTTTATATATATATTTGTTATGTACTGCTGTGTCAAATTATGTTGTGTTTTATACAATGAAAAATTCATCATAAGCATCACTGATATCCTTATAAAACTATCTCACAGATTATGAAATTTGCCTTAGTTTCTTAGGAAAAAAAAGCTCATCCATCCACACATATGAAAATATCTTCCTGGTATGAGGGGTGATTTACCATAGTGTGATAGGACCTCATCCCATCATCAGTGGATTAAGAAAAAAAAGAAAAATTGCAGCTTTTTTTCTTTTTCTATAAATTTAAATAAAAGAAACTTCATTTTAATTGCCATAGAGACTAATTTAATTTCTCTTTCAAGTGCTGGTTCCTATGTTATAAAGAAGAAAAAACATTTGTTGCTTTAATAAGAATCCATGATCCACTCTAGTAGGAAATGTGAAAAAAATAATTGTCATTTTCACCCATTTAAGCATTAGCACAGAGAGAGAAAATTAATTTATCAGTGGTAAATCTTTAAGGCCCTATCACACTAGTGTGTATTTTTTTCGTTTCTGTATGAGCTCTCCATATGCAAATGGGCTGATCCTCTCACACTACAAAGGCAACAAACATTTTGCCCTCGTAAACAAACTTGGCACTATTGGAGTGTGTCAGGGCCTTTATTCATGTTGCTATTCAAAATGCTTATGATTCACCCACCCCCACCCCTACCCCTCCACCACTTACACTTGGAGACATTCCCCTTGATTGCCTCATGATATTAAGTCTGTGCTTAGTCAACATTGGCAGTTATGAAGTTGAATTCCATTATGATTATAATATTTCCATTTTTCTGCATTGCTTCCTCTAATTACCAAATGCAGCAATATTTAACCCATTGGTGCTGGGTATATACACTGGCCACAGTATTGTTTTGTAGATTTTGTTTACACATGGATGGCTCTACAAGCATTTAGTTACCAAGGAGCCAATTACTTGATCTGGCTGACTGCACCTGGATTGCCCCATTCCTTGAATATAGGGCTATGAATATTGGTGGTTATTTTTATTATAAACATTATAATTACTATAATGTTATAAACATTAGTAACAGCAAAATAAGATAAAGTAAAATATTTTCGTATTTAAAGAAAAGGGTAAATGGGTGAGACGGGCAGTACAAGTATAAGTGAGCCATCTATGTGTTAAAACAATTAAACAAGTAAACTCACAGTGGGCATGTCACGGATACGTTACACCCATTTGCCTACTAATAAGAACTTTTAAAGCAGGGGATCATTTTAACTTTTCTTGGGGGGGGGGGGGAGGTTGGCAAGTGAAGTGAGCACACATAGTGTTAATGTAGGAGCATTTTTTAAGCTGTGACCAGAGCTATAAAGGTGTAATTTTGGCCGAAAAAAAAAGAAAAAAAGAAAAGAAAAAAAGGAGTGTGGCCCTTAGGTCCACACTCACACAGTTAGCCATACACTGAGGTGGGCAATCAGAGTCTTACCCCCGTGATGCCCCTATTCTAGAGCCATCTGTCTGTAAACAAAATTAGTACACTAAAATCACAGTGGACAGGGCATTTATATACATACCTTCCCAGCATCATTGGGTTGAATTAGACACAATGCAAAACTTTTAACTGAATGGATAAGGTGCTTTTATCAATGAGTTATTATAGCACCAAGTTTGCATGAAATGAGTAAAGGGATTTTTATAAAAGTAAATATTTATTGCAGAGAATGATTGATTTCATCATGCTAGATTCCGCTGTAGAGTTGATTTTTTTTACAATGGAATAAGGAGCTTGCATCATACTAAAAACAATAGTACAGAAAATATAGTCAATAGATTCAAGCATAGATTCCATATTGTATCAGTTGATTCAGGTTTTGAGAAGAGTTTCATGATACTGTAGGTAAAAATAAAATTTTTGATCATATGCAAAATTTGATAAATAAGATATAACAAGAAAATGAGATCCATTTTCTTATGACATGTTCTTAAAGGTAATTGTAGTAATGTTTAAAAAGTACATTGAAAGTGAGAAAAAAAACTTTATTGTTTTAGTAATTATTGTGACCTTAATGAAATCACAATGGAGAATATCTTCCATTACAGGTTTTATTTAATCCCGTTCAAGAACCAGAGGTCCCACTGCCACCACCAACACCAAGACAGAACCATTATGCCAATGTATGTGCCCTAAGACGTCAGAGGTCATGTGTTTCAAACCGAAGTGCTGAGTGCCTTGCTGCCATACTTAGTAGAAGGGCGGCTAGTGTTGACTGTGATGGTGCAGATGGTAGTGCAGGTGGGAAGAGACTAAGTCGAACATGGTCTCAGCCCATTGACACATCTCACCTACGAACAAGAATACCTAGTGGCGAGGCAGGCATTAATGTGATAGAATCAGAGAGGAAAACACATCTCCAGAAGATAGTCCCACTAGGAATGTTAGAAAAATTAGAAATCTAAGAGAGTTCCAGCTTCTGACAAAAAATAGAGACTCAGATACCGAGAGTAATCCTGGCTCACCGAGCAAGGATTCCAAGAATACTCCCTACCTAGAAAAAAAAGTGAGGCAGCTAAACAAATATCAGGAGACATGAAAGTCAGCAATAAGTCCAGAAGATGTTTCTCGGATTCTGATGCTGATGTTGGCGTACCAGTTACTCAGACGGTGGGGAAGTTGATGTATGGCAGAATCCTGTGGCAACACTCTCACCAGAGACTGACCAACAATTACAGATAATATGTCAAGAGGAGCAGCCATCTGTGGTACAGCAACTAAAACCAAAGACTAACGGCCAACATCAAACATCAGAAAAGACAGAGGAGAATGATACTTCAATGAATATCAGTGTCAATTCTTGTGAAGAGGTGACTGAAGTTACGGGATGGCAAGTAACCATGAGCTCGGGGGAGAATCACGTGCCGACAATGCCACCCCCTGAAGAGTTTGGTGGTGGTAATCCTCTTTCTCATGTTCCTGTGCCTAACTCTTCTTTTGCAGCATCGCGAGCACATCATGCAAAATAATATGGACCACAATGAATTGGCAATGCACTTTGACAAGATGGTTCGGCAAACACAATGTGAATAAGGTGCTAGCTCAGGCACGCCGTATGTTTGAGGCATACCTTTAAATTAGATTTTTCCAAAGCACGCTCTAAGAATACTCCTCCAAGTTCTGTAGGCGACCAATCTTGTTAAAGTTCACCAAGTAGATTATTTGAAATTGTTAAAATATTTGTTCACATTCCTCAAAGCCTTGAGAAATAAGACCTAATTCAATTTGCTTTTGCTACAGTAAGATGTTGCATTATGTGCATAGGAAGAAAAAAATGTTCAAATACAGTAGTGTAAGCAATTTTGTAAATATTTAGTATCACAGAATATATGTTACCCTAAAATTGGTATCAGTACCTAATAAGTGTGCTCCCTATATCCCTCAGATGTATCCACTTTGTTTGGTATACAACTCCCTTTTTTTTTCATTTTGTAGACTTTAACCTAAATTCTCAACTCTCAGGAACCCTCAAGGTTTCCTTTTGGTGACTATTTCTGTAACCGATAAGTCAGGGTTTAGTATTCAATGCAATACAAATAATTATGGTTCTTTTTATGGCATTTATCATCACCTGAATTAATCATATTTTTTCATACATTGAATCATCTTGAACATTTAATCATATGAATCATATTTGAGCACAGATATTTGGTATTTCATTTTGTACTGTGTGTTTCAATCTTGGTTATCTTTTAGAAGTGCTAGTTACTTCCAGTATTTTTTCTTTCTTTAGAGTGTAATAATGTAAATATGATTATCAGGTATCAAATCTTGATTGTTTTACTCTTTTGTGCAATGGTAGTGTGAAGAGGATATTTTTAGTTAGAGGAGAGTGTTGTGACTAGACTAGGATTCCTTTGTTTCATGAATTAGCAGAGACTCAGCTAAGCCTGTATATTCACATTTCTTGCATTTATCTATGCAGGGCTTGATATTGCAGACTCCTTTTTTTATATGTCTATCACATTTATGAAATAAGTAATGATAACATCATGAAAGCCTTTGGCAATGTAAAATCAGTGTTATAGATAGACCAGTGATTCATGTTACAAAGAGCAAAACAAAGGGAAGAAAGAAAACTAAAAGCTTTGAATAGAAGTTACACAACCATTTGTATTCAAAATCACATAGGTGTAAAAAAAAAAGATGTTACATGTATACAGGCGAGTAGACTGACATCCTTGATCATATCATTCCAAAGCCCAAACTTTTTTAGGTTTAAGGAATATGCATGTCTTGGTTCAAGCAGAGGCTATTTTTTTTCCTCCCAGGAGCATTGGGTATGGTTGTTGAGGCATTGAAGTTAAAACCCCTTCATGCTTTTATATTTTCAGTTAAAGGTGCCTTAGCAGCATTTAACAAAATGTGATAATTTGAAACCTGAGATATTTGAAGTTTGAATGAGGAATCGTGAGTGATTGATTGTTCATTGTACAGGTTTCACTTTTATGATTGATCTGCAATCCCAAAAGACTGGAAAGTCCAGAAAGTAAAGAAGGATAATGTTATTTTATGAGAAATATACTCTTAGGCTTCAAATAGGGAAATGGCATGTCCCAATAATGGATGGCTTTTCAACTCCTAACTTAAGTTTAGATGAGGATAGCACATTATCAGCTAGAATGATAGAGTATGGAAGATTTTTTTTCCCATGGAAACTCGTCATTACAGTTCTGTTTGTTCCATGAATTATTAACATGGTGAAAGAAGAAATGTTTTTATTATTTTTTGAGGACTTGTATAGAAAAGCGAATGCATTGTATTGACCCAGATTTATTCTGTATTTTATTATATTCATAAAGTAATTACGTACAGAATGCACCACACACATACTAGTCAGGGTATTCGGAAGACAGCATATTGCCAAGAATGAGAATGTCATTATCTTTTCAGGTCTTGCAGATTTCTCTCTTGCAGCAAAATGGAAACTTCTAGTATTCACAGTTATTTTTGGTGCTATTTCTGCCTACCTCACCATTTCTTCTTTATTGTCATTTTTTTATTTAGATGATGGCCAGGGGGTAATGCTAACATCAGTTTAAGAGAGCACATTGGTGTTACAAAAAAAAAAAAAAATACTAGTCATTTAATGCAAGATAACTTAACAAATTAATTTTCATAATCTGTATGACTCCTGCTCTGTATTTTTTTACAACTCAATACTTTATTTTTCATTAATGTTCATGGATATCATCCTGCATACTGGATTTCAAGGGTTAGACTTAACGGCTGTGCCCCAGCACTAGGCCAACCTTAAAAACATATTTTGCTATCTATCCCCAGATGACTCTACTGTTGAACAATAGGTAAGTCTAGATTATTGCTGCCACTAAAACCCATGATTTTATTATTATTTTTAAGAATTAGTTTTATTTTTTGTAGACTGAATGTCTGGTCATTTTACCACTTTTGAATCTGCTTGAGGGTGGGAATGTTATCAGGGTCCAGCATAGTAATTAATTACATAACATGTATGTAGTTTTTTTGTTTATTTGTTTAATTAAACCTTTACTATGACTTACACATTTAAAGTTTTTATATATTATTATTCTACTCATTGTAATATTTCCTCTGTACTATAGGAGAGAGTTTTATGGAAATATCTTTACATAAAGGAAGGATTATGTATAAAGCAAAGATTTTTGCTCTGTACCAAAAATATTGGCTGTAAAATACTGAATAAAGAGAAAATATCTTACTTTTCAACTTGAGTGGTGGTTAATTAACTTAAGTTAAGTCTTATCAGCTGGGATTTTTTATTGATAGATAGCAGTTACACTAATTCTAACATAAGATTAGAATATTAATTATAATAATGGTTTTATTTTCTGTAAAGATGGTTTCTGCTATCTATGACTTTTCCTACAAACAAAGTCCTCCCTAAATTATATCAAAATAAAACTCATTGATATATATTTTCTGAGAGCTTCACAGAAGCAGATAATTCTTGACTGTATCTGTTGCATTTCAGAGGCATTATATGTTATCACCTTTAGACAAAATTAAGTGTAAAAAGTTAGTGAAAATATCACATCTTAAAGATTAGTGGCTGGATTTCCTGAGATCAGCTGGACAGGTAGTTAATGTAGATTATTTTGATATGTAGTAATACAGTAATTGTTATCTTGCAAGAACTGTTTTTCCTATGCAGTCAAATATTGTAAGCCTGTTCTTTTACAGCATGGGAAACACTGAACTTACTCTTCACAAGAGAGTTGTTGCCATTTGTTTGTCTTTGCATAAGAGTTGTGTGTAATACAGTTGAAATAGTTGATTCTAGCTGAGGAATGAAATTTATAATGTAAATTTGGCATTTCTTAATACTGTGAAAAAGTTGTAATCAGTGTGAAACTAATTCTGTTTAAGCAGTGTATTATTCAGAAAACTTTCTTGCATATAATTGGAACAGAGAAGCTAGTTGGATTACCATTTAATATGATTGATTAGCAATTAACAACTTTCAACATGTTTCTAGTCAGGCTTTTTTTAAACTAGGTTTTAGGAAATTTTGTCCTTTAAATTGGTATGGGAAAACTTTTCATTGGTATTTGCATCAATGTTACCCTTCTCTATAACCTTAAATAATTTAGATTTTATATAATGAAAGAGATCAGTTAAAAGTGATCTGAAGTTCACATATGGGGTATCATGTATTAAGCCACAATAATAAAGTGACTGTTAAAATCTATTTCTAGCTTGTACACCAAAGTGGAAGAGTAATATTAATAGTCTCTTTTGACTCACTCTTGATGTGAGCAAAGCTGCAACAAGGAATTTCTTTTAGTTCAGTGTTAAATTTAGTACTGCATTGATAAGGTTTGTATCATACTTTTGCTTTTGCTTGTCTTTTGTGGTGACACTGCTTTAAGAGATCCATCTTTCTCACAGGGCACACCTTAACATCATAACATGACAAAATATATAGATTATGCATTTCATACAATACATTTTAGGATATCAATCCATAGTTTTTGTTAACCAGTTTGTGAGACTTCTTTTTTTCATTGTTTGAAGCATGTTTCACTCGTGGGTTACATTGGATAGAATGCCAACAAAATCATTATCACTCTGAAGACACTTTAGTGCAGTAATGATTTTTCAAAGGAAATTTGGCTTTATTTTCTTGTTACATTCGATTTAATAATCATGTTAACATGGTGTCATTTATTTACCTTTGGCTCTGAAGTGGTATTTTATTGTAAAAGCCAACTTTGACATGTAGTTCTTTCCGTTTTTTTGTGGCATATTTATTAAGTTTTTAAAACATCTGACCTAAAATTTTCTGTATTTACATGAAAATGATACTTATGTGCAGTCACACACTTCTGTAGCTTATCTATATGTTTTCAGGCTTAGGGCATGTAAAAGTTTAATTCTATTTTTAAAAGGAGCAATGCATTGTGCCTACTTAGACAGAGGTAATGCAGTTTTTCAGTTTGGTTGATTACTTTTTTTCACTATGAAAACTTCAGAAATCAAAG